AAACCAAGGTCCTCAAATTCAAGGCGGAGAACAGCAATCCAATCACTCTTGATGGCGAAACTCTGGAAGATGTAGAGTCCTTCACATACCTAGGAAGCATCATCGATGAACAAGGAGGTTCAGATGCAGACGTAAAGGCGAGGATCGGCAAAGCAAGGGTCGCATTCCTACAATTGAAGAACATATGGAACTCAAAACAACTTTCAACCAATATCAAAGTGAGAATCTTCAATACGAACGTCAAGGCAGTTCTACTGTATGGAGCTGAAACTTGGAGAACTACAACAACCACCATCAAGAAAGTACAAGTATTTATAAATAGCTGTCTACGCAAGATACTCAACATCCATTGGCCGGATACCATCAGCAATAGCCTTCTGTGGGAGAGAACAAATCAACTTCCAGCTGAAGAAGAAATTAGGAAAAGACGATGGAAATGGATAGGACATACATTACGCAAATCGTCAAACTGCATCACGAGGCAAGCCCTAACTTGGAATCCTGAAGGGAAGCGGAAAAGAGGAAGGCCAAAGAACACATTGCGTCGGATAACAGAAGCAGATATGAAAAGGATGAATTACAACTGGACGGAGCTGGAAAGGATTGCCCAGGACAGGGTTGGATGGAGAATGCTGGTGAGTGGCCTATGCTCCTTCACGAGGAGTAACAAGCGTAAGTAAGTAAGTAAGTAAGTAAGTGAGTAAGTAAGTAAGTAAATAAAGCCACATCACATCTCTAAATTTGATATGAACTCCTCCAGTAACACCGGCGAAATTCCAGGATATTTATATGTATAAACCTAACCCACGGCCCTCCGAGAGCAAACTAAAAGTATGTCATACGATCAAACCGAAAGTGCACCTGTATTTGCTAAACTCAAAAGACTAGCACCAGATAAGCTTCATACCTCTGAAGCTGAATTCGAATACATGCTACAACTGGGTATTGTCCGTCCTTCTGATAGTCGATGATCATCCCCTTTGTATATGGTCCCAAAAAGAAATGAAAGCGATTGGCCACTGTGAAGGGATTACAGATCCCTCAACCGTCAAACCGTACCAGATAGGTACCCGATACCGCATATCCAAGATTTCACAAACGGTTTACAGGGTATGAACATATTTACTAAAATTGACTTGGTCATGGCATATCATAATATTCCAGTAGCTGAGGAGGATATCCCTAAGACAGCTGTTACCGCACGTTTTGGAATGTTCGAGTTTGTACACATGCCATTCGGCCTAAGGAATGTGGCACAAATATTTCAAAGATCCATGGATGACCTACTTCAGGATACGTCATTCGCATAGGGGTATATGGGCTATTTGTTAATTGCCAGTCCCGATTTACAATCACACGAACAGCATGTGAGAGCAGTGTTAAAACGGCTGGACGAAAATGGAATGAACATAGATCAAAGTGTGTTTTTGGTGTTCGAACTCTAGAATTTCTCGGGTACACAATAAGCCAGAGTGAATTACGCCTATTAAAGAAGATGTGGACACCATCAAACAATACCCCATACCTAGTTCTCTAACACAGCTTAGAATTTATCTAGGTCCAAGTAACTTTTATCGCAGATTCATACCCGGTCGTGCACAATTAATGTAACTTTTGACAGATTTACTTAAAGGAAAACCACAAGAATTGGAACTGTCTTCTGATGCCGTTGAAGCTATTAAACAGCTAAAAGATAAACTGACTCAAGCGTCTACGTTGATGTATAGGAATTCCCTTTCCTTACTTGCTTTGATGGCAGATACCTCGAACAAAGCAGCAGGTGGCACCCTTAACCAACTGGTTTAAAACGCCTGGAAACCAATTGATTTCTTGTCAAAAAGACTCTAGTCAGCAGAAACAAGGTATTTTACCTTCGAGTGAAGACGTCTTGCAATCTACCTAAACATTAAGTATTTCCGACACATGTTGGAAGCCAGGTAATTCATAGTTTATACAGATCATAGACCACTGACCAATTCACCAAAAACGATAGCCGATAAATGTGTAGAATTATGGTCTACTATGATATAATTAATACTTCAATCATAGACTTAATCCCAAATACATACTATAAACCCAAACAATAAACCTTCGCAATAACAACGAATCCCAAAAATAATCCAGATGTCTACTCCGTATCTATTTCCTTTCAGATAATCAATCCATTCTGGAAGCCGAACATTTACGTAGAACCAAGAAATTATCAATTACATTTCGTTTTAGTTCCTTATTATTTTACACAGACAGAAGAGCAGCTCTTCAGGTTTGACTGGTTTGCATCATTGCTTTTGAAGCAGGTTCCTCTTTATTATTTCACTTGAGGGCGACTTAAGAGGCAGGTGAGTAAACACTAGACAGCCGGACAGGGCATGGAAAAGCCGTACCTCACCAACATGGTGTTGGGTAGCTCGTTCGCGGTACTTCCCCAGATATTCTTGTTTCATTTTCATTATGATGTTGTTCCACGTTTATACCAATGGTCAGGATAGAAACTTCTGCGACAGCGAAGATTCAGTAGATAGGTTTGTGTAAACCCGCGTTAAGTTGCACATATCTCTCACCATATGTGGCGATCGGTTTTCCTATTTATAATAGTCGGTCGTTAGAATTCGCAGGAAGAACGCCAACGTCTGTGCCAATATATGAAATCTGATTATGTTCGTGTTTATCATTATTTCCGTTATTAATATCATCATTAGTTCCCTGACACATTAGATATTCTTTTTGTATCTTCTTATCCTTCTAAACATATTTAACTCCAGATTGTCCTTTAAAATCAATTTTGACTTTCATAGCGTCAATCTTAATTATTATTGCACAAATATTTATACTAATATCCGGTTTCACTCTGTATACTATTACATAAATCTAAATGTATTCATCCAAGTGCATTGAAGGATTTTTATTATATTTTTCTAAATTGTTGGTTTCCTTCTGAGGTTGATACTCATTACGCAATTATTATTCTTATCATGAATCAAAACTTTTCACTAGGTGTTCACTTCTTTTCACTCCATTCTTTCCCTCTAAATAAATATTATTCTTAGGATTACGAAGTTTGTAACTAAAACAATAACTTGTGTTACACTTAAATTTAATTCTCAGACCCGTTTTATCTTCACTATGCATATATGACTCATACATATTGATATTTTATTATCCTTTCCACTTAATTGAGACTTTCATGGCATCACTCCAAACTATGTGACTGCACAAACATTTATATTCTAGCGTCATATCTTACTGCAATTATAGGTTATTTTTTCTTAATTATTTTTTCTTACTAATTTGACGATACACACATAGTCGTTTGTTCTTGTTTTATGTTCATAAACACGCCTATTACACTGTTTGTGTACTTCACGTCTCCTTTATTTCTATTCCCTTATTTTCTGCATTTCCTTCTTTAGACTCAATTCAATATTCTTCTCAATTGCACAGACCCGATTTATTATTATTAATATTCTACTATTATTGCTCAAAATTTTTTTTTTTAATGGCCAGTAGAATGCTGACATTATTGAAAATTGTGTATTATTGCATTTTTTTGAAGAAACCCGAAATGTTTCTTCACAACACTTATGTACCCATAAGATGTTTGTGAATAATAATAATAATAATAATAATAATATCGACAAGGTAGCCAACTTTCGCTATCATATCAGTGATGTATAACGGACGACTGTGTTCTCCAGTAACGGTTGCCGTTAATGCATGGCAGTTGAGAAGTTTCCCAAAATGTTTTTTCGTGTTGGTTGGTCTGAGCCTCGGAGAATTGCAGGCTTTTCTGAGATTTCGAGATTTTCCGCACTGGTTTTGATACCAGCACTGATCAGGGTTATCTGTCACTCTAATTTTAGAGACAAATTGTTTGAATGAAGTACTCCTTCGAGACGTTTAGAAGCGTCTACGGACATGACAAATACCAAGGTAACATGTTAGAGTATGACAGAGTTCTTTAACGTCATTTCGTGTCATGTGAATTTTTTCCTTGGCTTAAAAAACCTGGGTGTTTGATTTTCTGGTAATCTCCAGAATTCGATCGGCGGATGCAGCCAGCTTTGTTTTGAAATGAGACAAGCACTACCCGAACCTGTTAAGGAAGCTTAGACAAGAAGAGTTGTCTAAACAGGTCATCATCGAAGGTCCGTTGACCAATGACCTCGCTCATTAGTAGCAACATGTTTGTTGCTGAGTCATGTTGTGGATCGATGTTAATGAAGAGTTTACCTAACATTTGTCTATCGGTCAGATCTCTACGCTTAAGAATAGCATTTTAAGAGTTTCATAAGGTTCCAAGACATCACTAGTAAACATGCCGGGTGTGATGTACCTGTTGAAACCGCGCAGTAGTGCACATGTATGGTTCTGCTACGCAGAAGCTGACTTCAATGTTGTCGAGCCAAAATGGCGTAAAAGTCTTCATCTTAAATAATTTAGGAGTCTGCTTGTTCACGATATTATAATGTATAGCAATGGACGAGGAAAAAAATCCACAAATACGAAAAAATATCACAATATATAAGAATTATAGTAAAAACTGATATAAAGCCATAAAGAGGAACGGACTCGCAGTTTACAACTTGGTGTACTAGATCACGCCATACGCACCACTAGAGATGCAACAAGTATTCGGAATTTGACAATGGCTTAACCAGTAACACTATGAGTCGGACAGAGTTCTTTTAAATGTTGCAGATTATCCTTTGTGACGAGAACCGACTAGAAAAAACGTAGGTCCAGGTGTTCATACTGATTGCTTCCAACCACTCTTAATCACTCTCCTGTTCATTTGTGCTGGACACTTCAGAGATATTTTATCTAAAGTATCCCCAATACAATATCTACAACATATAATATGGAAAGAGGATGCTCGACTGCTCCCCGTTCGTCTGCTTTGTTGGTCAGCCTTTTAATTTTTTAAAGCTACTCTTTGATTAAGATAAATATATAAGATGATCTGATTCACTGTTTTCATATTGAGTCCATATATGATAAAGTTTCAATTACCCGCGATTGAGGATTGAGGTTTGAGCTCTATTTGTTTAAGTTCTTAGCACAACCACAGAGGGCACATTGTACGGAGGCATGGTAAGTGGATGTTGTATCAAGTTCAAGTTAATGTTGTTATTAGACTCGTAAACGAAGGAATCATGGTAGGTCGAAGAAAGGCCGAGGTCATGTTGGCTTCATACGTTGTACAAATTGTGGTCGAGCATGTCCTAAAGATAAATCTGTATGGAAATTAGTGACACGAAGTATGGTAGAAGCCGCCGCCGTTAAAGATTTGGAAGACGCGTCGGTGTATGGCAGTAAGTCTCATTTTAATTGAGTTGTTGGACATGGATACGTTCCGGGTCATGAGCAGTCCGGAACCACTCATTGTCCTAGAGTAAAATCAGCTTTAGCAGAGTCAGTTATTACAGTACCAACTGACACAGATACGGGCTGTACACTTTAAAATAATAGATTTACATTTCTTACTGGTGTTCACTACCAACCTAATGTTTTTTAATGCTTTATTCCAGAAAACTACGCCGTTCCCAAATTGTACGTCAAACTTCAATACTGTATCAGTTGTGCCATCCACAGTAAAGTTCTTCGAAATCGTAGTCGGGAATCAAGGCGTCTCAGAAGGATTATAGTTAAACCTCGGGTTAAGTTCACACGTCCTATTGCTCCAAGGGCATGATTGCATGAATAAATTTTCATTCATTGGACTTTGCCTTTTGATTTTTGTCAGAAAGTTGTGTTTGTTGGTCAAAATCCGTTACTCCTATTATTCCTGACATGAATGCGTGTGGTTTATTTGGTCTCAGAATCCTTATCTGTTGTTTAGAGTGAACATCTTTTACTAGGCAATTGTCATTCATTCGTTGTTTCGTAAATACATTGTTCTTTAAGATGCTTACATATAATTCACGCCTACTTTTTAAGAACGGACCTATTCACTAGGCTGGTGTGTTTACAACAGAACAAACAGTGCAGCTGCAAAATGAGGTCAAAATTGCGACTGTTTCGCTGATGACTCAAGGTTTGAATCGGTAAAGCTGTGCGTGGTCTTACGTTTATGATGACTGGCTAACTGATGCGGTGGTGCCTAAGTATTGTTTTGTTGGTTTAATCATCACTAGCTTAAGTTTACGTCTAGGAAGTAACAGTTCGGATATCCTGAAACTAATTAGCCGCAAACGTAAAATGCCTCCCGGATACTATTCTGTTTGGATATGGATGGTTAAGTGAAACTGCGTTTGTACTTGAATATTGCCGAGCAACATTGAAAGCAAAAAATTATGTACAAAGGATGTTCTATCATGAGGTTGTATTTGTATAATGAAACACTGCGTTGAGCCGAATGCATTTCGTATTCGTGGATACCTCTCACAATGGTGACAAGTACACTGAATCAGTCATTAAAACTCGGACAGACTGTATGGGGTTATTTCATGTTTATTATTTGACTGACTTTCCGTAGTCGCGAAATAATCTGCCGGCAGGTTTCTACTGGACTTAGAGTCTATATTCATCTTGATATTGTAAATCATCATCCTCAATACTCGAGGTGTTCTGCTGCCACTAAATCCGATAAAATACAGAGCAAAAGGTTTTCGGGAACTTTGATTTGATGGTTTACGAATGTTCAGGATGTAATCAAGCAAACCATTATGATTGTTTATAGGTATGTCCATTCATGAGATGGTCTGCAGATGCATTCTGCTACCTAAGTAAACTGCTGTCCTGGTGGACATTGTTATCTATTTGGGTAAAAAATATGATACGCGGGTGTTTATTCTTAGAAGCAGTCATAGAAAAGCATATTATTAACATGATAGTCTTATACTATCTCACTACATAAGGCGTAAACGTAGATCACCCTAACTAGCTTCTGAAACCTTAGCTTTGACCAGGAATTTGTGAAACACTCTTAGTCAAGCGTCTTTGCGAACGTGTTTTTGGTCGTCACCACAGAAAGTAGTAGTGATATATTCTGGGAAGTGTCTGTCAGTTGCAACAGTGGACGATTTTGTGAGTGGGTGTTCACTGTTTCAGTCCAATTTATCTGTTGTGGATCGCTACTGCATTCATAGATCCAAAACATATACCGTTTAAAGGCTCACTTGGTACTGTTGGTTTTCGTTTCAACAATTTAGTTAAATTATAGCATACAACTGTTGCAGAAGTCAGTCCGGTGCATGTTTGTAATGAAATGCCTTGATTAGACGCGGTAAGTTCGGGCTTGTTAAGAAATATTGGGAAGTGAAAACAGCCCAAAGTGGCTTTGTAAAACTTAGCGTCATGTCATCGGATGTGTGGATTCCCATAAGCTCCATGTGAGCTAGCTGTAAATTACTGCGATGAAATGGTGAACTAAGAAGTACTTCTGCAATGGGACTCGTATTAGCCAATAGACTTACGTAGTTCGATAGAGAAAATGCACATGGTCACACGCTCTTTTAAAAAGCTGTCTTGTTATTCTTAGCAGTAAAGATAACCAGGTCGATTGCTTTATTCACTGGAATCTGATCTGTTGGCGTAAATAGTGATAATACTGTCACTGTATCCTATCAATTTTGGTTAATGAGTGAGCTGAGCATAATCCTCCTGTGCTTTTTTGTCGCATGTGTTACTTCACACTCTTGAACTAAGTGATGACAAGCACTGGGATGATGGTTCCGAGTAACTCATACACTTAGGTCAATTATTCCGCAACTAAATAAGTTATAAGTACGATTGTACAGCTTAATTGAAGTCGAAAAAGAAGTTTTCTCTGCCAGACGTATCTACCCTTCCTCAAAACATGGTAGATTTATTTCGTTACCATTGTATTCATTTTGGATTTCTACTGTTTGCGTATGATCCGTGATAATTGTTGTAGCATAAATATGGCTGTGGTAAAGTTGATTCGGTTACGATTCTCACTTAAGTATGTAGCGTCGTAGAGAACTTATAAAGCAACGACATGGAGGTTGATTTCAACTAAGAGTGCAGTGAAGAGTTAAGAGAAAGGAAACGTGATTTCATAAAGACAAATGCATCAAGAATACCATTAGCAACATTGTTATAAATGTATGGAAATGAAATGAAGGTACAGTACATAGCTACTGTCCCCAAATGCCCTGGTTCGGCCGAGAGTGGGGAGAGTTCGCTCACCCTCTCGAAATGCTCTCACATGGACACGCGTATATAGCCTCTGCCAGGGAAGTCCTACTCACTGCCTTCTCGTGGCATTACTGTTGTTTACGAAGTTGAGAGGACGAATGTCCGGCCCCTTAACTGGTGTACATGGGCTCCAGTATCCTGAGGGAACAAATGGCGTATGAACCAATCGTTGGTCACCGGCTACCATGGGACTGCATCTCCCAACGTTGCTCCACTGCCTTGTGGATTAGGCCTTTAGGTTGATGGCTCGGGATGTGGTTCCCTAGGAAGATCACCTACTTCGGTTTGGGCACCCGGGCAGTATCACAACCCTCACACAAATCTAGTGAGATGACAATTACTTCACGAAATACTATACGCGCTTCAATTAGAATTCAGACATTATACATTCACTTGATAGCACTCATTTTTATTATAATCACTATTTTTTATATACTACGTCACTTATCTATCTCTATTCTCCACATTTTTCAACTTATACAGCAGCTCAACTATGGTGGAAATTCTGTTCTATCTAAACGATCTCGAGTCACTGCCTGGTCGAAAGTTGAATGCTTCCACCGAATACGAATACTTAAACAACCTTTCTGAAACCACGTACACTATTCCATCAAAGTGAGAAGAAATCGGCGTGAGGAACGATATCTTTTCGTCATCTCCGCCTGTGCTCCGACAGATTGCAGCCCGGATGCAATCAAGGATGAGTTCTACCACCGGTTAGCAGTTCTTCCCCAGAAAGTGCGTTCGACAGACATTGTAGCAGTAGTCGGAGACTTGAATGCCCAAATCGGGAGTCTAGACACAAGAGGATCGTTTAGATGGCCGATGGGGACTTGTTAGTTGCAGGGCAGATAACGGGGACTGTCTACTGCAACTGTGCGCAGACCACAACCTGTTTCTGGCTAGCACTAACTTTCGGTACAGTCATCGCCGATGTGCCACCTGGCGTCCTCCCTCTGCATCTCAAGCCTCGACTCAGATTGATCACATCGCAATCAACTACCTCTGGTGTGGTTGTGTACAAGACTGTCACTCCTTTCGGAGTACGTATCTGAACTCTGATCATTTATTTATTTATTTTAACACATAGATATTGGTACAAGGAGGCACCAAATACATATGCGCCAAACAAATCTCATTTAATACGTGTGAGGGTTGTGATACTGCCCGGGTGCCCAAACCGAAGTAGGTGATCTTCCTAGGGAACCACATCCCGAGCCTTCAACCTAAAGGCCTAATCCACAAGGCAGTGGAGCAACGTTGGGAGATGCAGTCCCATGGTAGCCGGTGACCAACGATTGGTTCATACGCCATTTGTTCCCTTAGGATAATATAGACCATGTTCACCATTGGTTTTGATATTCTATCATAGGTGTCTTCGAAGCATTGATAGTGTATTTCGGGACCATGAAGTAAGAAATACCTAGGTTAGGAATAATGTACTGAGTAAGGATTGGAAATCGATTGATGAAAAAGTTAATCTTCAACTGAGGTGATTGGGACATGTGTTACATATGTCCTACCACCGCCTATCTCGACGAACGGTTTTTTTTTAGTGTAGGATTAGGGTGGAAGAAAGTTAGGGACGTCCAAACCAAAACTTTTCATCGGTATATGAAGTCACTAACAATTGGAATTACCCATGCTAATAGGTGTAGGCTAATTGTTTGGGGTCCACGTGATTATCGTAACCAATGGTTAGAGACTTTGAGTGACATGGCTCAAAATCGTTTGTAGCTGCGCAGATGCATCCATTCTTTGTATTTTCTCAAGTTCTAAATTCCACATAACTTCGTTTTTATATTTCACTAATCTATATTTTTTCGAGTCATATTTTCAATGTCTAATCGTTTTAATCACCACTGATAATTTTACTACCTCTACTATTCTGGGCTGCAATTGTGTGACGCCATGAAAATGACGAGTAAAGTCGCTTGCGGCTTCGCAAAACGTCCCGTTTATAAGCACTGGGTTTCTTCTGATTCCTTACAACTCATTGAAGCCAGTCGGTCTACTCCGGGTAACCGTGAGTTTGGCGACAAACTACGACTTTTACGTAATGAAATTGAGCAAAGCTTGCATAAGGCCCGAGAAACCTGATGGTCGGAGCGTGCTAATGAGCTGGAAGTAGCAGCTGCATCTGGTGACTACTGGAAGCTCTTCCAACTCATCCGAGCCACTGGCAGCAAGAAGTCGGGTGTGAGCGAAACAATCTGTGAGGATGATGGGATGCCAATCACTAACATCCATCGACGTCTTGGACGGTGGGCAGAATTTTTCGAAGGGCAGTTCAACTGGCCTGCTGCTCCGGCAACATCGGTCAGACTGTCCTGCCCTCCATGGCCGGTGACGACTGATCCACCAAATGAGGCGGAAGTCCGTACGGAACTCCAACTCTTGAAGCGCTACAAATCACCTGGCCCAGATGACTTACCTCCGGCTCTTTAAAGATGGTGGTGACTTTCTGGCTAAGGAACGGACTGTGTTGTTTACAAAGGTGTGGGAACTAGAGAGTGTACCAACGTCATGGAATGAGTCGATAGTTGTCCCTATCTTTAAAAAGGGTTCACGTCGTCTCTAACAACTATCGGGGGATAAATCTACTTCCGATTGCGTCCAAGCTATTGGCTTCCGTCATACTTCGTAGGTTGTTCAAAACCCGAGAAAGATTGACTCGCGAGAAGCAGGCTGGGTTTCGTTGTGGTCGAGGATGTATTGATCATATCTTCACCCTCCGCCAAATGTTAGAACACCGCCATACTTATCAAAGGCCAACAATCGTAGTGTTTCTTGACATCAGTGCTGCCTTCGATTCGTTGGACAGGACTGTTCTCTGGGATTGTCTATTGAAGAAGGGTGTGCCTGAGAAGTTTATTAACATCTTAAAGGCCCTATATACAAACACCTCAGGCAGAGGGAGGGCATACAACCACCTCTTCATTGTTCCATTCAAGCAGTGGGGTTAGGCAGGGTTGCCCAATCTCAACATTCCTCTTCAACTTTGCAATCGATGACACTCGGGAAACAGCTCTGATGAATGTAAGTAATGGTGGTGTGGATCTGTTGCCTGGAGAAAGACTTCTCGACCTTGAGTTTGCGGATAATATTGTCTTACTGTGCGATAATGCCCAAGGCATGCAATCCGCACTTAATCAGTTGGCAATCAATGTCCGTAGGTATGGTATGTGCTTTGCACCTTCGAAGTGCAAAGAACTTCTACAAGACTGGCAGGATTCTAATCCTGTACTCACCCTGGATGGTGAGCAGATAGAAGTAGTTGAGAAGTTCGTGTATCTAGGTAGCTGCATAAGTGCTGGTGGTGGTGTGAGTGATGAGATCAATGCACGTATAGTGAAGTCCAGAACGGCTTATGCCAATCTGGGCCACCTTTGGTGCCTTCGTGATGTTAGTCTGGCTGTGAAAGGTCGGATCTACAACGCGTCGGTGAGAGCAGTTCTGCTCTATGCTCGTGAAACCTGGCCTCTCTGAGTTGAGGACGTTAGACGACTTTCTGTGTTTGATCATCGTTGTCTCCGAAGGATTGCTGACATCTAGTGGCAACACCATGTTAGTAATGGAGAGGTTCGGCATCGTGTGTTCGGTCACAGACGATGATGCAATCTTTGTCACCATTTTGAAACACCGACTTCGGTGGCTTGGATATGTTCTACGGATGTCGTCTTAGAGAATTCCACATCGTGGTTTATTTGCTAACGCCGGGACTGGTTGGGAAAAGCGGAGAGGTGGTCAGTGTATGATATGGTGTCGTGGTATGAAAGAAAGCTGCAGAGGACTGGCCTGTGTTGGTCCTTCACGACTCCTTGGCTGGGGTCGGAGAGATGGTGCAACACAGTGGCTAGAGATGTTATCAGATATGGCTCAGAATAGAAGCCAGTGGCGATTCTGCTGTAACCTTCTTTCACGTTCTTCACAAAATGTGGCCGTAACTTGTTTAAATTAAAGAATTCTTTCTGATTGTACATTTTTGTTTCTCCCATTATTATTATTATTATTTCACTACCATACAGTAATTTGTGGTCGTTATTGTTCTTTTTTTCCTTTTATACGCACCTTACATTCTTTATCTCTTCCCATTCATTGTTTTTGTGTGGCGCATACCTTTCTGGTGCCCCCATGTACCAATATTTATGTGTCCAAATAAATAATAATATAGCTACTAAGTAGTCACCTAACAAATTAAACAGCGTTCGATGCACATTCTCAGAATAAAGAAAAAAGCATGCG